TATTAAACCAGCATAGTTCAGATTAAAGAACAGCAGTTACCTAAAAAAAGTTATGACTTTCTATCCATACTAGATTAAAATGGCAGGTTTTCTTAGGCTCTAATTGAATATAAAGTTTGAAATTGAACTTACTAACACAATTTTCCTTGAAAATAGCTTAAAATGTAGCTTTAAAAAGCAATAGCTTAAATTAGATTTAGAAAAAATAAATTTAATCGAAATACTTTATAAACATTAGATTTTATCCACACTAGCTTAAATAAAGCTAATCATATGCATTTCCTTCTTAACTTTTATATCACCACTGCCCAAATTTGCCACAGTGCCCAATATAATGCCTGGTATACAGTAAGTGCTCAATAAATGCTTATTGAAGCAATGGATCCACAATTTTCCTCTCCTATTCTCTATTCTCACAGACTTCTCTACTATGTGTATCTTGATTTGATGAGTTCAAAATTTATCTGATATATATGCTAACTTCTTTACTTGATGACTCGTTAGAATTTTTTGTTCTCCATTATATTTTCATTATGATATTCAGATATGTTGCTTCTCAATTGCTTTTATGTGCTTTATGTTTTGTCACCTCAACAAACAAATCTTTTGAAGGCAAGGACTTGTTTTGCGTTTTCTGTATGTGCCTTTAGACTGTATTTTGCATGCACTTGATTCCCACATGGTAAACATCTCCTAGTTATAAAATTATTCAAATAAAAACAACATTGTTTTCAAGTTTAGAGAATCAAATTTTTGTTTACATTGAACATTATGTATACCTTTATCTGCAAGGTTGCATTTACGTTATGTGCTTCTTACACTTACTGGAACTGTACTCACAGATTCACAGATATTTCCTAATGAAAACATCATGGCAAGCATTATAATATTCCTATGTTAGCCTTGCCTTTTTAACCTTTATATCTTTAGATGTCCCCATTGCATTAAAGTAGAGGAAAAAATACTCTAGTAAAATTTTAGCATATGTATGGAATTCCCTTTTAGGTATTTATTTATTTAAGCAATAACTCAGTTACTCACTTATTCAACAAACAGGAGTCTCCACTCTGTGCCAAGTACTAGCGTTAAGTCATTAAAGAACGAAACACAGCAATAAGCAAAATTAAGTTCCTGCCATGCTAATGCTTACATTCGAGCCAGTCTGTGGAAAATAACCAAACAGAGAGAATGCCTATGTAAAACACAGACTGAAAATAAATGCTACAAAGAAAATAAAGCAGAGTAAGGGAAACGAAGATGTAAAGGAAAGAGAAGGCATCGCAGTTGCATCCGGGTATTCAGTGAAGGCCTTAGAGGAGATGGCGTTTGCGCAGACACTGCACATACATATGCCTGGAAAGGAATCCCCCAGAGAGTGAGAATACAAAAGACTGGAGAGAGGCCCGTGCTTGGTGTGTCCAAGGAACGGGGAGAAAACTGAAGGAAGGAGGTAAGTGGGGTAGAGTAGGGGAGGGGATTGCATGATGAGATCAGAGGAATGCTGGTGGAAGGGCCAATGGTGGACTCAAATAGGACCCTGTAGGTCACAGTGAGAACTTGGACTTTACTCTGATTGAGATAGAATGTCTTGAACAATTTTGAACAAAAAACTAATATGATGTAGCATGCTGTAAAATGACTGTGCCTTCAAGTCACCAAAAAGACTATAGGGAGCTTGTATAAGAGCAGAGAAATAAGTTAAAATGTTTCCATAGTTTAGGTGAGGATAATAATGGCTTAGAACGGGGTGGTTGGTGCTGGATTTTGCTTAGTCTTCCAAAAACAAAAAGAAACAAAAGACAAACCAAAACAGAGAACTCAAAGGAGTTGATGAATTACATAGGAGTTCTAATAGAAAGAGAGGAGTCAAGGATGACTCCAGAGGTTAATGGCCTGAGAAAATGAAAGGATGAATTTGCAAGTTTATGGAAGGTACCAATTTGTAGGAAATTGTTAAATTTTAGAAATGTTAAGTTTGTGAAGGTGATTACACATTCAACTAAACCCCTTTCTTTCCAGAATGAAGTGCATATATTCTAATACAAAACTATAACATGCTACTGATGAGACTAAGGATTGCTCAAGAAAAGCCTGTATTTGCATGACTATGAGAAGAATGTTTTATATAAAACTACATTTAGAAATGAAATGGCTTCATCTCTTCTTTTTTAGGGAAGGATTTTCTTTCAGAAGTAGGTTGCCTAAGTCTTTGAGGCAAACTCCTTTCTGAAAGCCAACATGTCAACTAAAAACATCTTTATGAACTGGAAACACAGAATAATCCGCTTCACAGATATGAGAATTTATGTTGTGCTACTGAGTGCCAGATGTAAGGCTGGCACACTTTGCATGTCAACAAGGATTATTGTCATTTAATTTGATATTTATTCTGGGACTTGCTTCATGAGGAGCCCTCACAGGGAAAACCCTTAATGCCAAAGATCTACTACTTTGGTGGTAAAAACTTCCTGAAAATTCTGATAGGGTCAGGCCCTGGGCTTCCCTCTTAAGCACTCTGTGCTAGGCTAAGAGAGGATTTTGCAGAAACTGCTTTATAAGGTCCGTGACTTCTCTGACTCTGCTTCTGAAACTTATGTTTCTTGGAGTGTCTTTGTTTTAATTGGAGACCACGTTTGGACTTGAGCTACTTCTCTTCTTATAGCTCCATGCTGCTGTGGTTTGTGTTACATGTGTAGCCTTGCTGTCAACAGCTATGTCAGAGGGCTGGAGGTTCCAAGGCAATCTGCTGCTAAGGCATGCTCCCACACTCCGTGTTTACAAATGTTCTCCTTCCACTTGACACAGCGCAGTGATGTGTTCTCATGGTTTCATTCATGTTTCTCATATGAATGGCCCGGTTGGTGTAGCTGTTTCCAATAAAATAGGGTAGTCTACATAAGGCACGTCATCAGGCCATCTGGCTGCTTTCATTCCTGGTGCAGTCACCAAAACAAAAACGTGTCTAGCCCGGAGGAAATCAACAGACATACAATAGGAAAGCAAATACAAAAGAGGAAAGACTATCTCCTCCATTTTCTCTTCACTGGGAAACAGAAAAGGAGGTTATAACTTGCTAGCCTCTGCGTTTCCATTGCAGCAGCTCAGTCACACTCCCTGGAGAGTGACGGACTCCTGTTTGAGAAACGCTGTGATAATCAACTGTTTAAATTTCCTTAGCTGGCTGGAATAAAGAACAATCAGACATTTTAACTTTGTTGTTTCTTGAAGGTGCCATGTTTCTGGCTCCTTCATTCTCTTACAATTGAAATTACTACTAAAAAGGGTGCATCCTTCCCTCTCATCACTCTACCCCCTTCTTTGTGTTCAAGAATCAACACAAGTATTTTCTACTCTGGGACATTTTTCCTCCTTCCAGCTTCCTCTCCTCCCCAACTCCCATAACCCATACTCCCGCATATACACATGCTGCAGGTGCACTTTTAAAAAAAATTAAGACGAATGTATAAAAATTAATTTTATTTTTATACTTAACAATGAACACATAAAAATTAAAACTAAAAATACAACACATTTATAATTGCTTAAAAAATAATAAAATAATTAGGTATAAATCTATCAAAACATGTATAGGACTAGTATGCTGAGAACTATAAAATAGTAGTGAAATAAAATAAGGAAAATGTAAGTAAACGGAGATACAACCATGTCCATGTATTGGAAGACTCAAGGAAGAAAAGACACACTCCCCTCCTAAAGATGTATGCAATTCCTATCACTATCATAGCAAGATATTTTTTTAAATACAAACACAATTATTCTTTTTTTTTTAATTTATTTTTTCCCAAATTCTGTGGGTACAAATATTGTTAGGGTTACATATCTTGCCCCTGCTCCCCTCCCCACCCCGCTCTGCCAGAGCTTCATGCGTGTCCAGTCTTCAAGTGGTGCGCCCTGCACCCACCATGAAAGTGCATACCCTTCCCCTTCTCCCCCTTCCACCTGTTCACTTCCCATTAACAATTTTTTTTTAGACATTTTGGTTATAGTGCAAACACAATTATTCTATATGATTTGTACAGAAAGTCAAAGGAATGTCCCACTGCTCAGCTCCAGTGCCACACGTTAGTCAGTAAGTACTAAGCTGTCCCTGAGAAAGCCTGCTACACACACCTTCATCTACAGCCCCACTCGCGCATAGACCCTTGTCGTTCGTGGTCAAATTGTGGACCACGTGGCCGTATTATGCTTTCCTTCAACCCAGGCATATAATTAGGCCAAGGCTGAGCAGACACCTCAGGGAAGCCAAAGCATAGGCTTGTAAGGATCTTTCATGCTCCCAGTGTAAAATGTTAGCTGGGACTATCAGACTCTTGTTTACAGGTTTTGTGTGTTTTTTTTGGCATATTTATGGGGGTACAGAATTTAAGGTTTCAATAAATGCCCATTTCCCCCCCCCACAAGTCTGAGTCTCCAGCATGACCATCCCCCAGATGGTGCACATCTCACTCATTATGTATGTATATACCCGCCCCCCTCCCCCCTTCCACCTCAAAGAAGTGCAGAAAGGTGAGATGATTCGCAAACCTGGCTCAAGTGGTACATTATGTCTTGAAAAATAGGGCCAAAAGGGCCTTGAGGGGCCGTGATAAGGCAAAAGTTTGAACAGACAGGAATAAGGAGGAGAAGCTTATTTGAAGATACAGATGAGAGTGAAGCAGATGGACAGAAAGACGCAAAAGCAAGTTAACATTACATGTAGTTTACGGTGGAGAGATGGGGGTGGAGGAGGCAGCCGATTCAATTCCAGCTCCAAGAAAGGGGTTTGACAGTGAATGGCAATTGCTTGCGATAGCTGGGGCAAGGCTGTCTTTCTTACATGTGCAAGTAAGTGCCTATCGAAAATTCCATGAATATCTCCTTTGTAGTACTTATCCTGTTCTGTTGTTAATTCACTTGTCAGTGTCTCCTGGAAGACTATTAACTTCGTGAGAAAGGGATCTCAATCATTCTGACTTTATCTATCTACCTAGTAGGCCCTCAGTAAACATTTGGAGACTGCACCGGGGCTAATTCAAAAATGTCAGGACAAACTAGAACTTGCAAGTCTATTTGCCTGCATGGACAGACTTCTAAGAATAAGAAAGGTAATGACTAAATGCTAAGAACATACCTACTCATAACGCATTGTGTTATATCAAACTTCCTTTCTCAATCTACTAGACACACTTAATTACCAAATCTAATTGATTCTTTCTCTCTCACACTCGTCTCATTCTCCCCACCCCATAGCATTTGCCCTAAGTCAGGGCGCTACTGGAACCTAGACAGATTACTGCTATCATTTCCTCACATGTCCTCCTGCCTCAGTGGTGACTCACTGCAGTTAATGTTTCCACTCTGCCACCAGAAAATCCTAAAACACAAATCTGATCATTTCACTCCAGTACATAAAATCTTGCAATGGAAATTCCTCTTGTTTGTTCGATAAATTCCAAAGTGCTGTACCTGGCATGCAAGGTCTTTTATGATTTGACATTGGTCCTGTTCACCCTCATTTCTTTTCCTTTTCCTTTCTTCTCTTCTGTCTTTCTCTGCTCCAGCTGAACTAGTTCTTTTTGTTCCTTGAACACGTTATGTTCTCTCAATGCTGAGGCCCCAAGCATGCTATTTTTCTGAGCCAGAACTCTTCCTACCACAAACTCCAATGTCCTTAAAACACATACCACGTCTCATCTGAGTCATGTTGAGTCACTCTTCAAATATAAGCTCAGATATTACTTCCTGAAATATTTCAATGACTACTGTCTTCCTTCCCATGTTTAAGTTGGCTTCTACATCCTTCTACAGCCCCTTGTGTTCACATTATCATATTTGGCTGTGTTATCCACCTATTATATTGTAAACTCTTTATAGCTAGGAACGCCATATAATGTCTAACCATGTTATCTGTAGCATCTAATGCAAAATATAGATATATATATATAAATACTTTCGATTGAATGAAGTAGATCCCAGGGATATATTTCTGTAGAGCGTAAGATAGGTATACATGCTGGCAGAGGACAGACTGAAAATGGACTAGTGCTAAGAATTTGGAGTTTTTGTCTGTGAAACAGTAAGCACAGTAACATTTCTCTGTGTGTTTGTCTCCAGGAATGGGAGCAGCACAGTGAGGGAGGATGGGGAAGGAGAATCTTATCTACTCTAAAAGACTGACCCAACTTCAGGTGGGCTTATTTCACTCAGTCTATGGATTATTAAATGGACTGTATTTAAAGAAGGACCTTGTAGTGTTTCAAAGTGTAGATGGAAATCCAAATGAAGAAAAGACAGAATGATTTCTACTAGTATTTATTTGTAAAGTTCATTTTAACAGCTACTTTTGTCCAAACACTGCAGAATAGTAATTAAGTGAGAAATAAGTATTGGCCTTCCCATGTTGTGGAAAAAGGTAGGTAAGCATTCACAAAATTTCATCTGAAGATTTGAATTATTCTACTGCTCCCAGAGCCATTGTTATTTTTTAAACTTTCACTTTTATAAAAATTACAATAATAGTACTTAATCTGGTAGACAGAGAGAGTATATACACAAATAATCTCATGATATTATTATACCAACTAGACTGTGGGGTAGGACAGGCAAGTATTAATATATTAATCTTCATTTGTGAGATTGAGACATAACATAATGCAAATGTTATCATCATTACAATCATCATCATCATAAGAGCTGAGATTTATTGAGCCTCTACTTTGTACTTTCCATGCATTATCTCATTTAATTACCACAATAATCCAGTAAGTCAGTACTGTTATTATCCCATTTTGTGGATGAACAAAACTCACATTTAAAAAAATTAAGTACTATGACCAAGGTCACACAGTTGGTGGGCAAAAATGTTGAAGTTCAGACCTTGTATTATATTCTAACTTGATGCTGTTTTTCACAACTGCTGAGATTTCCTAGTGGTATATGTTGCTTTCATTTCTTTTAATTACCTCGTAGATGGTCTGCCATGCAACTCAAAAATAGAAATAATATTTTGTATTATAATCATTGTTTACTGAAGTTACTCCCCTTGTAAGATCTCATTCCCCTTCTATCTCCCCTTCTTTTCCTCCCTCCTTTTTTTAAGATTACAAGAGGAAAAATCTGTGCATGTGATGCTAGGCCAGTTCTAAGAATAACTGTAGATAAACCCAAGGCCTTAGTGTATAACTAAATTACAAGACCAATGTTCATATTTCTTTTCGTTCATCAAAAGTATTTTGTGTTTGCAATACAGATAATAGTAAATCTCATCCAAGAAGAGTTTCTTGTAGACAAAGACTATTACTGTGACCACCCCAACTAGTGAGATTGTCCCCTTATATTCTTTGAAATATGAGGAAATATTGGTTGTTTATAATCTTAAAATAGAGCATTAAATTATTGATTCATTAGGATTTTTATTTTCAACATCTTTGAAACAACTTGGTATACATTTTTATGCCTTCTTATTATTTTCTAAACAAGATTAATTGTTCTTAAATGTTCTACTACAACAAAAAAAAATAGTAAGACTCTATTTGTGTTTATTTTTACCAACCAAGAGGCAATACTGACTAAAGTCAAACTAGAGAATAAAACATCCATTATGTGACCAGAACATGAAGCCAATAAAAGTCAAACTGATGCTTTGGGTCATTGTGAATTTACCTCTATCTTTAGGTGATAGGAAGATTTTAGCTTTGTAGTTCTTTATAGCTATATTAATTCAGTTTTAAGAGCAGTAGCAACCCTAGAGTGTGACTAGTGTTTATATTAGTAGCCAAGTGACTTTGTATGGCCATAAGTACTGCAGTTATACATATGTGACTATCCAGTATTAAACAGTCATTGCATGGCAGTTAAATTCAATCAGCCAGCATTACATGTGAAATACACTGAATCCAAATAAAAGGCACTTTTAATTGCCCAGAGAAGAGGGAGCAGAATGGAACACAATAAGGGAGCTACTCATTTTTACTTGTTTCTTCTTATTATTATGGTAAGAAAATATGAGATTCACTTAACAATTTTTTAAGTATGCAGTACATATTATTTAACTATGGGCACATTGTTGTAAAGCAGACCTCTAGAACTTTTTCATCTTGCATGATTGAAACTTTATATTCATTGAAAAGCAATTCCCCATTTTTCCTTAACCCCAGCCACTGGCAAACATCATTCTATTTTGTAAGTGAAATCATGCAATATTTGTCCTTCTATAACTGGTTTATTTCACCTAAAATAATAACTTCAAGGTTCTTCCCTGTTGTAGCATATGACAAGATTTCCTTCTTTTTTTGAAGCTGAATAATATTTCTTTGCATGTATATACCACATTGTATATACCAATAGCTCTTAGCTATTATAAATAATGCTGCAATGAACATGGGAATGCAAATATCTCTTTGAGATTCTGGTTTTGATTCTTTTGTATAAATACTCAGAAGTGAAATTGCTGGATCACATTGTAGTTCTATTTTTAAGTTTTTGAGAAAGCTCCATACTGCTTTCCATAGTGGCTACACTATTTTACATTTCCACCAACAGTTTATACAAGATATTTAATTTTTCCACATCTTCACCAACACTTCTTTTGTTTTGTTTTTATAGTGGCCATCCCAATGGGTGTGAGGTGATATCTCACTGTGGTTTTGATTTGGGATTACCAGTGATATTGAGCATTGTTTTCATATACCTGCTAATCATTTGTATGTCTTCTTTAGAGAAATGACTTTTCAAATCCTGTACCCATTTTTCAATCAGGCTATTTAGGTTTTGTTTTGTTTTGTTTTGTTTGCTATTGAGTTGCTGGAGTTCCTTATGTATTTTGGATATTATCCTCTTATCAGATACATGGGTTGCAAATATTTTCATCCATTTTGTAGGTCACCTTATCACTTTGTTTCATTTGCTCTGCAGAGCTTTAGTTTGATGCAGTCCATTTTCTATTTTATATTTTCTTGCTCATGCTTTTGGTATCATATGCAAGAAGTCAGTGTTAAAACCAATGCTATGAAGATTTTGCCCTTTTTTCTTACAGAGGTTTTATAGGTTCAGGTCTTACATTTAAGTTTTTAATCTATTTTTGAGTACAGGTAAGATAAGAGTCCAATTTCATTATTTTTTGTTGGTGGATATCCAGTTTTCCCAACACTATGTCTTGAAGAGACTATGCTTTCCCCAATGTGTATTCTCGGAACTCTCATCAAAGATTAGTTGACTGTGTTCATGTAGGTTTATTTCTGGGTTCTTTGTTCTGTTCCATTGTATGTATATGTCTGTCTTTGTGCAAGTACTATACTCTTTTGATTGCATAGTTTTGTAATATGTTTTGAAATCAGGAAAGGTGAGGCTTCCATTTTTGCTCCACTTTCTCAGGATTGTTTTTGTTACTCAGAGTCCTTTGTGGTTTTGTGTGAATTTTATGAAAGATTTTTCTATTTCTGTAAAAACTTCTATTAAGATTTGATAGCGCCTTCATTGAATATGTAGATCATTTTGGGTACTATTTTAACAATAATTCTTCTAATTCATGAACATGGAATGTTTTTCCACTTATTCACATTTTTTTCGGCATATTATGGGGGTACAGATTTTAAGGTTTCAGTAAATGCCCTTTCCCCCCTCTCCCCACAAGTCTGAGTTTCTAGCATGACCATGCCTCAGATGGTACACATCTCACTCATTATGTATATATATACCCGCTCCCCTCCCCCCTGCCCAATACCCTATTAATGTAGTACCTATGTGTCCACTTAGGTGCTACTCGGTTAATACCAGTTTGGTGGTGAATATATGTGGTGCTTGTTTTTCCATTCTTGGGATACTTCACTTAGTAGTATGGGTTCCAGCTCTAACCAGGAAAATATAAGATATGCTATATCACCATTGTTTCTTAGAGCTGAATAGTATCCCATGGTATATATATACCACATTTTATTAATCCATTCTTGGATTGATGGGTACTGGGGCTGTTTCCACAGCCTTGTGATTATGAATTGTGCTGCTATAAACATTCGAGTGCAGGTGTCTTTTTTGTAGAGTGTCATTGGATCTTTTGGGTAGATACCCAGCAATGGGATTGCTGGATCAAATGGTAGATTCCCTTGTATCGCTTTAAGGTATCTCTATGTTGCTTTCCACAGAGGTTGAACTAGTTTGCAGTCCCACCAGCAGTGTAGGAGTGTTCCTCTCTCTCCGCATCCACGCCAGCATTTGTTATTTGGAGACTTTTTGATAAAGGCCATTCTCACTGGAGTTAAGTGATATCTCATTGTAGTTTTGATTTGCATTTCCCTGATGATTAGAGATGATGAGCATTTTTTCATATGTTTGTTGGCCATTCTTCTGTCTTCTTTAGAAAAGTTTCTGTTCAAGTCCTTTGCCCACTTTTTAATAGGGTTATTTGATTTTTTCTTGCTGATTTTTGTGAGTTCTAAGAATATTCTAGTTATCAGCCCTTTATCGGATACGTAGGATGCAAAAATTTTCTCCCATTCTGTAGGTTGTCTGTTTACTTTCATGACTGTTTCTTCGGCTGTGCAGAAGCTTTTTAGTTTGATCATGTCCCATTTATTTATTTTTGTTGCTGCTTTGATTGCCTTTGGGGACTTCTTCATAAACTCTTTGCCTAGGCCGATGTCTAGGAGAGTGTTTCCAACATTTTCCTCTAGAGTTCTAATAGTTTCATACCTTAGGTTTAAGTCTGTTATCCAGTGTGAGTTGATTTTTGTGAGAGGTGAAAGGTGTGGGTCCTGCTTTAGCCTTCTACAAGTGGCTATCCAGTTTTTTTTAAATTTCTTTCAATGCTATTTTGTATTTTCAGTGTACTAGTCTTTTGCCTCTGTGGTTAAGTTTATTCCTAAGTATTTTATTCTTTTTGATGCTATTGTAAATGGAATTGTTGTCTTGATTTTTTTTTTCAGATTGTTCATTGATAGTAGGTAGAAATGAGATTGATTTCTGTATGACGATGTTGCATCTTGAAATTTTGTTGAATTTGCTATTAGTCCTAAATTTTTTGCTGGAATGTTTAGGATTTTCTATGGAAAATATTGTGTTATCTGTGAACAGAGATAATTTTCCTTCTTTTCCAATTTGGATGGCTTTTATTTCTTTTTCTTGCTAATTGCTCTAACTAGGGCTTCCAACAATATGTTGATTAGAAGTGGCAAAAGTCAGCATCCTTGCCTTT